ATGATTTACGTATGAAAAAAAATTATAAATTTTTTATATTTTTATATTATAATTTTTCTTTATTTTGTAATATTTTTTTACATCAAGAAAAAAAGAAATAAATAATAATATCGAGTCTTATTTCTTAATAATAATAAATATAATCTGTTTCTTTAATATAAATATATATTTTAAAACTTATTCCATTAATTAATTCTATCGATATTAGAAATTTAAAAATATTTAAGTAGTATATACAGCATTTACATAAAATATAGTACATTCTAAATATTTATTGTATATTTTATGTAAAATATGACAAATTTATAAGCATAAACTATGAAATGTATTGCTTTTCACAATATGTATATCGAAATTCATAATATATTGCTTACAATGTAGGCCAGAAAGATTTAAGTAGTTTCAATATTGCACGGTCTGCTCAAATAAATTGTTTCAATTTGGTGGATTATCACGAAATTTTTCTTATCCGATATATAGTATGATTAAAGACTTGGATTACGAATAATGAATAATATCATCTTACATTTAATCGAAGAGTGTACCGAGCATCAAGAGTCTTCTCTCGATATTTACTTCGAACGAAATAATTCGTTGAAGCGAACTGTACATACGTACATCTTACGAGAAAGATGAAATTGTATGGTAGTACATTGGGATTGGTCGTGGCGCCACCCCACTCCGTGAAGGCTTTCAGTCGAGCTCGAACCTTCATCGGGTGTGGAGTGTGTGTTGCATTGTCGTGTGTTAGTGTTCAGATTATTCACTGAAAATTAAGGTAAGAGAATTTTTTTACGTAATACATAATTAAATACATAATAATAGAAATATATCGTTTCAATCGTTTAACAATTACAATTATAACATAAAGCCGGTAAATCATTACACAAAAACTATTTTTGTCCTCGTTATTAGTCAATGTTGCATGGAAACAATATCGTGTACGACGGAGTTTCAATGATTTGTTTACTTATGCTCAAAATATATACGAAGTTTAAGTTAACCATCGGCATTCTAATGAAAGCAACAACAAGAGACAGCGCCTCTCCCACGAGATAAGAGAGACAGAGAGAATGGTGGCGCTCAGAGCTGTCTTCGTGTGTACTCTCGGGATCGATACACAGTACACACTTGGCGCGACGTTCGTGTAAGGTTACGGTTTGTACGGGATCGCATGCGGGTGTGTATGCTTCTTTCCATGCTTGTCTCTTGTGACGTCGTTGTGTTACGTGTCTGCGTGCATGCTCTCTATAAGCGAGGGTGGATTTTCGGTGTAGCTACAGAAAAATTCAAAGAAATTGAGAAGAACGCGTCAGACTATGCGGGTACCTCATGCAACGCACCCTCTCTCAAGGCGAGCGCGCCGGCAACCGTTGCTGAAAAGAAACGTGTGAGAATGACAAGTAAGTGCAGTAAAGATATTCAAAAGGGGAGATTTACTGTCTGGTATACCGCGAATTATAATAATGAGACTTGTCACATTATTTTGCTTCTATGAATATATTATATAAAAAATATTGCTTATTTATTGCTTTTATTAAATGTAATAGAATTAGATTTTAATTTAAATTAGACGTAATTTTTTATATCAAATTATAAAAATCTGTTAATATATTATTATACTATTATTTTTCATTGTTTTCATTTTATATTATTTTATATTATAAAAAGCAAAATTTAATTATCTCTATAGGAAAAAATTCATTTTTTCATATTTGATATAATAATGTGACAAAAATACAGTGATATTATTTTCATATTATATTTCTAATATTCATGAAATTAACAGCAATATGTTCTTTCTTCTTTTTTTTTTTTTTTATTATATTAGTGTTAGATTAGATAGACAAAGGTTAGATGTTAGAGGTTAGAAACATGTAGCTAACTGTTAATCACTTTATCCGTTATTTTCATATTGACAATTTGATCTTATGAATACTTTTGAAAATTGGTAGAGTTAGTCAATAAAATAAAATAGTTATAATATACTCGATCGATTTGTGGGAATCGAAAAACCGCAACGCGTGCGATAATCTATCATTAGAATAAGTTTCACTCTCCGAATAACTTTTTACGTAATGAGAAATTGTAATATCTTAACCTATTTATTGGTTCGACATACAATCATATTTTAGTGAATCAAGAAATATATCACACTATGATATATTTCTTGATATAATACTTTCATGTATTATTTCTCACTCTTTTTTTTAATATTTAATTGAACATAAGTATTCCTTACGTGCATTTTTTACAAACAATTTTATTAAATGTTTGCTATAATAGAAATTTTATTGTAAAAAATTGATTGAATGTTTTATTCAATAGATTTCTTTTGAACATATATGTTACATGTTTATACGTATAGAAAATTTTCTTAAGACAATACATTCGAAAATAATCTAATCTAAGAAATTATATTTATTGTTATATTTATTGTTTATGTCATCTATTTCTATTATTTATAACGCTTTAGATTTTCTTTAATGAGTCTATGAGTTATACATATATAAATAATATTCTGATCGCAAATTTTTTCTTTATTTCAAAGAATCGGATGTTTAATAAGAGAAGTAAAATATATGAAATAAAAATACAGATAAAAAAAACAAATCTAAACATTCGATCGAAGTAGTCGATATTATCTATTTGTTTCATTGAATAAAGAACGAAACACGAAATATCTAGTATTTCGATCATAACTTTCTTATGAAATTTTATATTTCCTTATATATTATTCGACAAAATAATTTACAAATAAAAATTTGAAAAAAAAAAGAGAGCAAGTATACTTGATTTTGTTCTGTATATTGCAGTAATATATTCGATATTTCGAATTCGTTTTTTTGAATTTTTAATTTTACAATGATTTAAAAATCAATTTTAACTTATAGAAAATTTACACATATATTCGTGTATTCATTCATACACAATATTAAATTGTGTGTTTGTTTTTTACTTGATGTAAAACATCTCTCTATCGAGATGTTCTAAATCAATAACAACCAACTGCAAGTGGTGTCAATTTCAATGAAACTAGAACGCGACGGTATTATTTTAATAAATGGTACGAAAAATTAGTTATATGAAAAATTCAAACTTATCGAATTATGTTTTGAAGAAAACCTGTATTTTCAAAATATAATTCTTTTGCATATATCACGAATACATTTACCACAAGTGGACGTGTGTTAGTAATGTCAATTCGTTAAATCACGACAAAGATAATTAACCGATCAAGTAACAAATAAAATAGTTTTTGTTATCTATCGCTTAAATTACAGATAACCAGTTAAATACACCCATGACCGATTCATTTTGATCGTTTAACAGTTCGAGATAATTATCTGCCATTTGATAGCTTATTTAGTTCCAACGATAATTAATGCTTTAAATTTTCGTAGCTAATGATATAATAGATTTATTCTTTACACTTTAATAAGTATCTTGTTAATATAATGTCAAATATAAATCAATGCGTTATCTTATGAATATTTATACTCTGTATATCATATTTAATTCGATAATAATATTTGTTAATTTATAAATTTAACAACATTAACGCTAGGGAATAATAATACGCAATGTTCGCTATTTTTTAATAGCGAATTGATATAATTTTCATTTATTATAGAATCATTTTAAATGAATGCTAACCAAAAAGGTTATGATGGACGAGAAAAGAAAAACAATTAGTTTAAACTTGGACGCATCACTAACTCGGAATAATTGGGCCAATCGATAGTTACTACCCTTAGTTCACCCTTCACTTCTAATGAACTCAAATCACGTGCAAAATCGTCATCGTGTACACTCAACTCGTACTTACATATTATTACACTTGGTTTATAATCTATATTCATCTATATTTAAAATTTACTATCTCTTATCATTATACCATTACGGAATATAACATCATTTTGTACATTTTTAAAATTCAATCAAAAATTACATGAATATGGATTATAATTTTTAGTTTACTTATACAAATATAAAATAAAAATTAGAATAAATATATTACTCGAGTAGAATAATACAAAATAACAAAATAATAATAAACAAATAATTGTCAAAATATGTCAGAGATTTTAAACATATAGTTACATTTAACATACGTATAACGATTGAGGGTCAAATCCTTGACCCTCGCACACCGTACACTTTCTCTAGTAACTTAATATAACACCCATCTTCGTAACGCAACTTCTTCTTCCGGTAACTATCATAGGTCACCGGATACAATCGAACGTGGCAATCATAATTATTACCATTCGATTAATTACAACACGCATACTTAATTACAACTCGAAATCATAAACGTCCAATTAACACTTGCCAAAAGGATCTCGAAAAGAATAAATAATTCCACGCGTTAAACCGCGTTATAATGAAATTCCCGATTGACGATGCTCGTCAAAGGGTCGTCGACTGTCGTGCTCTCGACGAGCAAAGACCCTTCGAAAAAGTGGAGATATTTTCGCGTGACACGCGACCACGTTCCTCGCAGAGCACGCGCGTTTCGTGGTTGAATCGAACGGAAGCATTATTGAATCGGCAATACGGCCGAGTGGCTCATTGGAATGCAGTGATGCATCGCTATATATACGTGAAGCTGGCGGGTGCCAGTGGTCGGTCTATGGCGCATCTTCAGACTTAAACAAACGATCGGTATGCAAGGTGAGAGGCCTATCTATTCAAGCCTCGACGGAATGCAAAAAAAGCCGACGTTTCCAGACAAAGGGGGATATCGGGCTCTGACCGAGTGGAAGTCTTCCTGATGCCCGTTATTCGTATGTCTCCTTGCTTCTTCACCCTTGAAAACGCGGCTGGAAATCCGAGATCCTATCCGAGCAAACTCGTTCCTCCTCCAAACTGGACGTGTCACGCATGTGCTTTTTCTGACCCCTAAAGGCCACCTGTCCATCGTCGCGCATCGCCTGTTTCAAGCTTCCATGCAGCTTATGGGGCAATGTAAAGCAATGGGCGGTCGTTTACCAAACGACAGTAGCACGCTTTCATTGCGATTGCGCTTTCGTTTAGACGCCCAGCTTACGATACTGGCGACAACCAGCCGTATTATTGCCGCGAATCAATTATTTTTGTACTTTGTCTTCGTAAAAAAATCGTATCTTCTTAAACGGATATGGATACTTTTTTCTATTTTGTTGATAAAATATTATTTCTCAAGTTTTGCAAGTTTGATATTCGGGAGGAAATTTTGAAAAATGTTTTATGATGTTTTCGATCTATTCGAGATTGATAACACACCGTGTGGCAATGTGATATTTATTCAAAAGAGCGAACTTATGTTATCAATCAGTTAAAAAACTAATGAAAAAGAAAATAACAGAGGAAAAATATTATAATTGCTATTATTTTCAAGATGGAATAAAAAATATGTTAAGAATTTCGGTAATGAAAACAATATAAAAGAAATTCCGATTTCTGAAAGTACGTAGAGAAAGAGTTTAAAATTCATTGTTTTCACAATTCAAGGAAGAAAAGAAAGAGATTTTTTTCTTTAATTTACATCAATTGTCAAGATTCCATATTTAAAGTACAAGGGCCATTTAACGAGGGGGTGTTCGAGATTGACAAAACGCGTTATTGAACCGAGAGGAGTACTCAATTATTTGGCTTGTTATGCCTCGAATCTGAACTAATTGAAAAGAATCGAGGCATTTGGGCAATTGATCGAATATGGTCATATAATTGTTGAGAATGATTAGACTTGAATACTCGAGAATAAGTTATTCCTTCTTTTCAAATGCTTGAAAATACTTTTTAAATTCTTGCTTTGTGATTCACAATTATCGGACGTATTCAGATATTTTTTTCAATGATTTTAAAAAGGAAATTTTTTATCATCGTAGAAAAAATTGAAATTACTTATAATCAAACAAAATGACGATGATAATTACGAGAAAAAATTTAAAAAGAGATAAATTCAAATGATATACAAATGATATGTTTATAAGATACAATTACCATATGGAATATAATCATATAGATACACATATACATCATTATATCACATATAATGATTACATCTATACACCATTGTATTTATTATCTCATTTATTGAATGATTTGATCCAAACATATATCTTAAATTTCATATCATTTCAATAACACTTTCATACGAAAATCACGAAAATTCGATCTGACAAGATAAACCTTTCCATAAAAGTTGTGTAAAACTGGAGTAAAAATATTTTTACTCTACCACTCTATGTTTAATAAATTTATAAAATGATCGGAATGGAATAATATCGAAAGGAATTAATTCGGAATCAAAAATCACTTTCGTTCACTGAAGTGAACGAAACGGAGACTGGTCGAGGAACCAGCTTGCCAGATAAACTTCTTTCGAAGCTTTCTCTTTGGCTTATCGGGCAACTAC